CAGCAGCAGCAGCAGCAGCAGCAACTGCGTCCCGAACAGCGCCTCCACAAACGCCAACAGCATCCCTGCGGTCGGCAGCGGTAATGGTGGGTGTCTTTTTTTGACAGTTTAAACGCGCACAGAATAGCTGTTGCCTTTTAACCTTTAGCCACTTAAGTGTTGGTCTGTATAAAGATGGAGAGTATTTGTAATCTTTATTATTCGTGCAGTTCTGAAGGTCTGTCGTACTTTTCCACTCACAGTTCCGACCTCGGCAGCAATGGCAACTCCATCATCCGACTCCAGCGTGTCAAACGGGGTGTATGTGCCCACAGGCATCGCTAATGGAGACGCGAAGCCCGTTATCTCAACCACACCGCTGGCTGATTTCCTGATGCAGCTGGAGGATTACACTCCTACAGTCAGTCCACACATGATTGCAGTACTACAGTAGATTCTTTGATTCTTGGGGTCTTTAGGAGTTAACAAACTGTCTCTGTGTTTCAGATCCCAGACGCAGTCACCGGATACTACCTCAACCGAGCTGGTTTTGAAGCATCAGATCCAAGAATGTGAGTTGGAATGATGTTCTCTCAGAAAGCTGTTATGTAGTGCTGCTGCTAAAAACATGTTACGGTCTTTACGCAAACATGTTTTTTAACAAAAGTAACTTTTTAATGTATTTTAAAGGCCCATTTACACCAAGAACAATAACTGTAACGATAACTATATTAACGTCCACATCAGTGAATGCTAACGTTTGTTATTTTTAACTAAATAATAACTAAAACTATTAAAAATCATTTTAATTGAAAAAAAAAAGGCTGAAATTAAATATAAATATTACTAGATTAAAAAAAATAAAGTTTAAGAAACTGAAAAATTAGAAATGTTGCTTTGGCAACTAACTGAAATAAATATAGAGTTGGAAGTACTGAAATGACTAAATCTTAAATGGAAATAAAAATAAATGAAAGCTAAAAAAAAAAATAAATGGCAAAAACACATAAGAAAATGACTAAAACTAAATTAAAACATTTTTAAAAATGTTTATAAATACTATCATAATATATATTTAACAGTTATTACAGTGGTGGCCAAAATTATTTGAACACTAATATTTTCACCAGCTAAAAAATGGTTTTGAGTCAGTTATTTCTATCTTTTGCTGTAGTGTGTCTGGAAATATCAGTTTACATTTCCAAACATTCATTTTGCCATTAAT